TACAATTTAAATTATTTTTAATTATAAAACATTAACTATTTTATAAAAAAAGCTTTAATATTAAGAGCTTTCTCATCATCAAATAATTTTTATTTTATAGTTTAAAATAATCCAACTATAAAACAAAATACCTATATTATTTTTCATTTATTAAAAAAACAATTATTAAATGAAATACTCTCTAATATCAAAAGTTTCATTTAATTCAATATATATTATTTTTTTAGTGTGGCACACTTCTTTTATATAAATTTTTAAGGGTTTTTTTTTAAATGTTACAATTAACAATAAAGAGAAAGGATATTTATATATTATTACATTAATTCAAATCTTAATACTATTTAAAATATTAGTGCATAAATTATGATTGTTATGATAAGTAACAAATTTATTAATAAAAAATAACTGAAAATAATTTAAATAATGCTATATTAATTATTAATATATATATAGGGAAATGAGACATCCACCCAACGAATCAGCACCCATCTCAACACCTATGTGTAAAATAAGGAGGGTAAATTTGTAATTTTACTATTTAAAACAACATGAGTGTTGAGATGGGTGCCGGTTCATTGGGTGGATGTATCAAGGTCCATATATATATATATATTTATATGTTCAGTTCAATCCAAATTCTTCCTTCCCCAGCGCCCCCAACACCTCGTCCTGGGCACACATTCGAGTGGCGCCGAATGTTAGAGAATAAATTGAGCCCTGGCTTGACGCTCGCGTTTTGAGAAATGGACGCATCATTGCCCAGCTTCACCGCCTGAGCCCCGCAAGAGATTGTGAAGTAAAACTCACCGGGTTGCGGCTCACCTGAAACATACTCCACTAAGCCCTGGATTTCCCACTCAGGGAGTGAGTACTTCCCTTAAATAATTGTTTTCTTGAGGAGTTAATTTTTGGGTGCTCACTCAAAGTTACCGCTTTTTAGAAGTCCTGGCAAAGAGAAGGTAAGGAGCTTGAAAAATCACTCACTTGAGGTATAAAACACCTGAAACCAAACTTCGATCTCTCATTCATTGGTGCAATAATTTTATGTTTAGCAAAAAAAAAAAAAATTTGTTTTTCAAATCCGATGGATTTGCTTGGGTGTGGCAGGTTGTACGGGAAGCTGAGGTATGTGAACTGGCTAGATTGATTCACCCGTTTCTGTCTACTCCAT